GAAGACGATACAACCAATCTTGTCCATTTGATTTCAAACCGGGTGGTTCATTGACTGCCTTCAGAGTTCAAAAAAAAAAAAAATCTCAAACTTTTAAGCCATCCAATTTGACATTTAATGACTAGAAGTAATTGTGATAAATAATCACATAATATACACAATCTCTTGTTTTTAAAGGTAAATTGTGGATCTTCAAAGTCTAAAGTTTGTTTTTTAAGGTAAACTTTTGATGACCTTCAAGGTTCGAAGTTTATCTTTGGGATAATGTTTATAGGGACAAAAGTCACAAAACTAAACTTCGGACCTTCAATTTTCGAAGTAGGTGAATTGAGTCAAATTTCTCTCTTTCTTTTTGGGTTTTTTTTTGAGAAAAAGCATAAAAGTAAAAATAGAAGTAGTTTGACACCTAAAGGGTAAAACTACTTTCATTTCTTTTTACTTTTAGATATAGTTTGAATTTGATCCTTTCAAGGTTCAAGCTAACTGGCCTGGTTCAAAGCAGCTTCTGGTTTGACCAAAAGTAAAATCAGAAGCTAGTTAGACCCTTTAAGGTTCAAACGAAGCTTAGTTTGACGACTTGTGGTCGAACTAGAAGTTGGCTCAATGCTTTTGGTTTGACCGAGGCTAGTTCAACCCTTGAAGGGTTGTCAAACTAGTTTGCAGGGTCGACAAAACTACCTTAGTTCAACCCTTCGCTAGCAACAAGTTGGGAGAGGCTAGACATAATTGAGACAAAAAAATAAAAGTTAAAGAAGTAAAAGGCTTGGCCGGCCCTGCATAGTCTTGCATTCGAGCCACATTATTGTGGCCAAGGCGTTATTTTTTGAGGGACAGGCCAATCGAGCCGGGTAGGGCCACCCCGCCCCATTGGCATCCTTATCGAGGGTTGAATCTGGCCCTTAAAGACCCAAGCTACTTCTAAAGCAATGAAAACATATAGCTCCACCCTTAAGGGGAAAAAAAAAAGGAAAAAAAAAGAAGCAGATGTAGTTTGAGCCTTCAACTTAGTCCACCGTTGAATTGTGAAATCTAGTATTTAAAAACTCAATTCTCTCTCTTTATTTTTCTGTTCTTTTTTAATCTTGAAATTTATATTGAAGAAATCAGTTGCACTCAAACAAATACAAAGGTTTATATTCTTTTCTCTTTCTCAAATTTATTTTTGTCATTTTTTTAGGTGAATGATTTATTTTTGTTTTAGATATCATCTTTCTAATTGCTATATTACCTAGAGAGAGAGTGTGAGAGAGTTGCTATGTTACCTAGAGAGAGAAAGAGGGGACTAGAGAGAGAAAGAGGGGATATCACAATATTTCTAAATTTCTAATTGCCATATTACTTAGAGAGAGAGACCGAGAGTGAGAGTGAGAGTGAGAGAGAGAGTTTTGAAAGAAGTTACAGAGAGCGAGGACTTAAAAAACTCATTCATAGAGAGAGAGAGAATCTGGCAAATTACCGTTTGCGAACCCATCTCCAACGGCTATATTCCACTTAGAAGGGAAAAGGAAGCCCAAAACTATTGTCCACCGCTGGATATAGTTTGTGCTTCTCCTCCCATCCCAACCGTTGGATGAAAGATGACCGTTGCGAGCGTCCCTCTTTCCTTATTTCAAAAACCCATGGTGCCTCTTCACCCTTATATCTCTCTATCGGACCGGACCAGACCAAACCCATTTCGAAACCAGAGTTTGCGAGCTTAGACAGAGACAGAAGAGAGAGAAGAGGCAGAAGAACAGAGGGAGTTGACGAAGATTGAGAGAGAAGGGTTAGATATAGAGAGAGAGAGAGAGAGAGGCCTGGTTTTTTCTTGCCCTCTTCTCAGTTTGTTCCTCTCACTGTGGCGAACCCTAATTTTGAACCCCAGTCTCGAAGCCGATTACATTGTTTCTTTTCTACTGTTATTTCGAGTCTTGGAGCTGTTGTTTTTCGGCAAAACCAGGAAGAGGAGATGGCAGCAACCAGGAATGCAGTACCCCAAACCAGAGGTAATAAACAATTTAGGGTTTATTTTATTTCATAGCGAATGGTTCTCTGAAAATTTGGCTGCGTGCTTATTTAGGATCTGGTTTGGGTTTTTCATTGGAAATGAATGTATGACATGTTCTTTTCATTTTTTTTTCTTCCCCATAGCTTTTGGGTCAGATGATCATTTAGGGATTCTTTGTGACTGAATCTGTGATTTTTTCACAGAATTGATCCAGAATCCGTTTCTTGATTCATAATTTCCTGTTTCTGTTAAATATCTGCGAATTTTAGGGCTATTTTCTTCTCCTGAAACTAGTTTTGAGAGATTTTACAGGAGCATTTCCAGAATCAGTTTTAGGTTTCTCATGGGCTCAGCTCTTTTATTTTGTGGTCTCAGGGTTTCTTCCATAGCCATTCTATGTCTTGGCCGTATTTTTACAGAATCTATGTTTGGGTTATGTAGCAAGTCAATGTTTGCGTGTTATTGTTCTTTTCATGTCTATAGCCCTCAAAACAAAGGCATCGACACGGTTTACCCTTTATTCTGGCTCTGCAATTTGTTCTAACCTAAAATGGGTTTAACGGCTTTCAGGTTTTTGAGCTCTTAATCAATCAAACTATTGATTAACTTGGATTCAAGTTTTCTTTCTCTGGTAGTGTTCTCTAGAAACACTTCCAGATTCAGATTCAGTGGTTTTTTGTTGTCCATCTATCAAATTGCCTGATTCAGGGTTTTCAAGGCTTCAATGGTTTCTTTTAACCTCTCAGTCTATCAAAACGAGTCTATTAAAACTAACTCTCACTTTTTAGTGTACTTTGCTGGCTCTTTAAAATGCTTCCAATACTTCCTCAGTTTTTGGGTTTTCATTGTTTCTGTGATGATGGCTTCTCTCTCTCTCTCTCTCTCTCTCTCTCTCTCTCTC